ACCCTTACTACGCAGATAGTATGTGTCTATATGAAATTACTTAGGGGTACCATTTGAGTGGTCTGGGACAAAATGGGTCACAAATATTAAAAATCATGAGGATGGGGTGGAAGAGCATGACCAGTATTTTTTGGGGGTGTGTGTCTTGTTTGAACATTCCAATTCTTGAATGTGCCAACATGTTTTCGCTGTAACACCATGCATGCATTGTTTTCTCTGTGTGTAGCTTGCAATTTTTTCAAACAAATCTTCTAGCCACCCCCACTGCATGATTTAAAATGGTTGACTTCTAATTACCTTTTTATTTTGCCTTATTCCACATTTATGTACATTATACGGCCAAATACAATCGTTTTTCCTCCTCTCAGTATAGTCTCCCCAAGACCACTTTTCTCTCTCCCGAATACAGAGTCTATCTACCACAGATTTTGTCTTCCAGAACAACTTTCCCATGGCCCTAACGTAATGGAAAAATTCAATTTATTTATTTCTGATTTTCAGTTAATTTTCATTGTAATAGTGATACACTATTTTTTTTCTAATCACCAGCATTTCAAACCAGGTCATCTATGGGTCAAACACGCTGTTCATTCGTGAGGCCAATCAAGATGACTGATAACCTAGTTAAGCAAACAACTAATACAAATTATTTTAAAAGGTTTTTAAACATAGGAACCTTCCAAGCCCAGGGATTGCACCAAAGAATCATAGGACACTATTATTTATGTTGTTTACAAAGTTAATCTATCTTTTGTTATCCATTGTAATTTTAATCCAGAAAGTAAATTTGTTGTGAGATTAGGCTTAACTGGAAGTGCCCCTTTAAAAGGTGATAAACGGATCACATGTACAGGGTTGCAGGATTTCCATACAAATCTCTGCATCTATGTTAGCTATTACTCTGACAGGCCAACTATGTAAACTTCTTATAAAAAAGATGAAACTGTTTGCTAAGGTTTTATACAGACAAATCTTTCATTATTAGCCAACATATAGAAGCAAATCCATTCATGTAGAATCCTTTTCATTGCAAAAGTCAATTTCTTTGTATAACACTTTTATCTGTAAAATAGATAGGGGTGTGCTGAAACCAGAACTGAACTGAAACCCTACCCATTCTAGTCAAATTTTATAGGTTTTTGAATACCTACTTCAACAATTTTAAATGATTGACATTGCATGTGTATTCAAGACTTGCACATGTACAATTGTGTCACTCACCTCAGACAGGTGTGTTGATATGTTTACCGTTTTGTCACTGAATTTGGATTTTTGGTGGATTTCCTGGTAATTTTCCACAAAAATTAAACTTGATGAAAAACAAGTAATCTATTTCCAGATGACCGTGTAATAATATTATCCACTTTTATACTGAATCAAGTGAAAAAAGACACCTACACCTTTCTATGAAATACCACCCCACACACTAGTGTGTACCCCACCACAGGTAAGACCACCCCGCCATGGGTAAGACCACCCTGCCATGGGTAACACCACCCTGCCATGGGTAAGACCACCCTGCCATGGGTAACACCACACTGCCATGGGTAAGACCACCCTGCCATGGGTAACACCACCCCGCCATGGGTAAGACCACCCTGCCATGGGTAAGACCACCCCGCCATGGGTAAGACCATTCCCACCACGGGTAAGACCACCCCGCCATGGGTAACACCACCCTGCCATGGGTAAGACCACCCCGCCATGGGTAAGACCACCCCGCCATGGGTATGACCATTCCCACCACAGGTAAGACCACCCCGCCATGGGTAATACCACCCCGCCACGGGTAAGACCACCCCACCATGGGTAAGACCACCCTGCCATGGGTAACACCACCCTGCCATGGGTAACACCACACTGCCATGGGTAAGACCACCCTGCCATGGGTAACACCACCTTGACATGTGTAAGACCACCCTGACATGTGTAAGACCACCCCGCCATGGGTAAGACCACCCTGCCATGGGTAACACCACCCTGCCATGGGTAAGACCACCCTGCCATGGGTAACACCACCTTGACATGTGTAAGACCACCCTGACATGTGTAAGACCACCCCGCCATGGGTAAGACCACCCCGCCATGGGTAAGACCACCCCACCATGGGTAAGACCACCCTGCCATGGGTAAGACCACCCTTGACACCTTCACTTACACAATAAAGATGGACTCAGTGAACTAGATTGCAATGTACCATACCTATATTTTCAGTTTTAACTGAAAAAGCACAAAATGATTTGAATAATCAAATACAAAACAATACTAAGAGAAATAAATTTCACACATAACAGAATATTCAGTAAGAGTATTGACCCATGTTCAAAAAATAGTATTTTTTTTAGTGAATTACTGAATTTACAAGCACAAGAGATAGTGATAAATAGCTACATTACTTCTGAATGATTTATACAACTAAACCACTAACAAAAAATATTTTAACAAAAAAATATGTTTGTCAAACACTGAAGCGAGTATACACTGTGATATTTTAAAAATATTTATTCCTCCCTCTATAGACGAACATGAACAAATTTGTTTACCATTTACGTCACTAGAGGGCGACATTTTCAATATCGACTTTCATCTGAGGTAGGAGGCAGATTTCTTTCAACATGACCAGCATTATAGATTACAAATACAACAGAAATATTGTTTGAATTTCAATTCTGTACACTGTGCAACTACTGTAAAAGATTCGTAAAATCTCAATCTGAAAACCTGCATAACATCATGCATAAAATAAAAAAAAAAGCTAAAAATGACATCTAAGTTTCCCACAAAGAAACAATAGACATTATCTCCAGTAGAAACAATGAGACATTGTTATGAAACGTTTTCATAATACTATAAACCCAACAATTACATAATATACAATCCATCAAAATCAATGATACAACTGGTATTAATGAAGCCAAGGTTTGTGTCGACATGGCAACAGAAAGATTTCAGATTACAGTATATCTCTGATGTATTCACACATTCTACCATGGAGCTAACAAGCATAGCTTCAAACCTCTAATAATATTTTGAAAATATTTAAAGAAACTAGATTTAAAAATACATCAAACTAAAAATAAAATTTAATTAAAACTGTAAACGACATTCCATGAATATCTCTCAAAAATTCTACATGTCTCTGTTATAGACGTTTTAAACAACATAAACTTAAGCCATTCAAAATATTGGTCCCAATTCCATTTGCTGAGAAAAGTGGCAAAAACCCAACAAACAAACTAAAAAATATAATTTGCAAGTACGTAGCAAAAAATTATAGATGTAGTGGAGTATTATAATTCTACAAACCTGAATCAAAGCCATGCTAAAAATGTTTGTTACCAACATTATAAAAAAATGATTAATATGATTATTAGAAATAGATACTACAATGGTGATTTCCACACTATGTACAATTTGGACAGAAATTCATGTCCTTCGATGAATTTAACAATATACTGAAAATAACAAATATAATTCTAAAGTATTTGGAATAATTAAAAATTGGGAAATTCATTTGAAGATAGATCAATAATAATTATTATGGAATTCCAGAGTTGACTAAATGTTTGTGAGAAAAACAAATTTAGAGAATATGGTAGCTGGCTAGTTTGGGTGAGGTAGTTCGCTTTAGTGTCAGGTTTTTTAATAAAATATAAACAATTTTGTTTTTTATTTGTTCATCTTAATTAAAGTACTTCAACAAGGATGAGAACAAACCACTCAGACACAATCCACTAAACCATTTGCTTTACCACAAAAAAATGCCACATTAATCCTCATTTGAATCATGGGTACAAAACTTACCCAATTAAAACAATTGTTTTATAATTTAGTTTAATAAACAGGGCTTTCCAATTTCTAAATATGAGTGAACCAATGCACAGCATTGTAAAATATTTATTTTGAAATTAGGTGACAAAAAATTAATAAATTCGTTATTTTTCTATTTCACCATTAGTTATTTTGTCAGGTTTTGACATCATAACACTGGGGTTTTCCAGCAGCTCAAAAACAGTTCAAAAAAGTTAAATGAATTTTATTCATGATGAAGTTTCAAGGATAACAGAGAGAAATTTAATAAATTGTCGAGATTGTCATGATTCAAGTTATTCCTCTACACTCAATAACAAAATAATTAGTAGCAGCAGTCGCATTATTTAAAGAATTTAATCAAAACATCTAATTTATGATTTACAATAAGCAAAGCAACGTGGAGTATCGGTAATCAAATCAAGAATATATACACTAAATCCACTGGAAATAGTAACATGAATTTTGCATTTTCACTCTATTTATTTTTTTTAAATATAAAAGCACATTTTTAATAGAAAATTTGAATGTGAAATGACAACCTGAAATAAATGTAATGCCTGAGATTACTGATGCTGCAGCTGCTTGGTGAGATACACTATCACTATAAGTGCGCATGCGTGTGGATCATGAACGACCCACCCATCCATTGAGATTTTAAATGCCTGCTTCAAATCAGCCAAACATTGTCAGAAAAGCCAATTACAAAACCAAAATACAGCTCATAGTTTGAAAAGTTTGAAGAGCAGAATTCTAGCAATGGCCGGCCGATGATTGCTACGAGCAATGATTTAATTAAACTGTGTAGTTCACTCAACGGAGGTAAGAATGAAACCACATGCAAATGAGCAATTATTGCGATAATGTAACTTTCCTGCAGCACATGCTACCCTGTTGAATGTGAAAATAAATTAGGATATATACCACAGTAACTTGAACTTCTACCAGTCCCATGTGCTGAGAGCGCCCTCTTGTGTTAGCTTCTTTAGCACATGGAAGAAAATCCATCTATTTACAACAAATAATATATTTTCTAGGAAAATCAATCTATTTACAACAAATAACAAATTTTCTTACAATTGATCAAATAAAACCAGGTGAAACTAACTGTAATTACAGTTGCAACAACAAAGGATGTTTTTGAAATTCGCAAGAGGCAACATACAGTTATGCCAACATAAGAAAACACATCAATCCTTAGCACTTCTATCTAATGATTCCATTTTCAGATTGTTGTATTGTTTTGTGGAATCAAGAAAAGTCACCTCCTGGTCAATTTTGGCAGTAATCATCTCTTGGATCAGTTGATTCAATGGCAGTTCCTTACGTCCCAGTAACTGGTGTAGGTGGTGTATGGAAGCCGAGCTGATCTGACGTAGAAGTGGTAATGTCAAGAGCAGTCGAATCACTCGTCTCTTGTCTAACGCATGGTGTCTTTGCAGGTGGTCATGTAGGGCATCATAAAGTGTGTCTTGTACTCGTTCAATGGCTGGTGGGTCTTCAAGATGTGTAATATCTGTTAAAGACAAACATACTTCAGAATTTTTCAGCATGTTTTGATACGAAGACTAGATGTGGCACATATTCAAAATCAAAATTGGAGGCCAAAAAAAAAAAAAAATCGTGGTCAGTTATAAATTTTTTTTATTTATCGGTGCAAAACAGTACAATCGTAAAAATGCCAATCTATTAAATCGTTCAAGTTGTATTCTGAGTTGTATTGTGAAATGTACGCTTAATTTCAATAAACATTTATTTCTTGTATGTACCGTAATCAATTCCCCCTAAATTTTTATGCTAACATACGAAGAAATGTGTTGACATTCTATGCCCATAGGTTCCAATGTTGCTGGGTAATGATACAGATGGTATTCTATCCTATTCTATAGCGTGATATAACGTCAAACATGGCTCTACATGTTTGTATGCAAAACCACTCCTAATTTCAAATTCTGCTATTTTCTGATCTATTTATAAATGACACAATCATGCATACTTTTATTCATGTACAATAGGTGTCAACGAGAACAACAAGAACACGGACAGACATTTACCAGAAATATATATATATACCTGAATTGCAAAGAACAAGTCCTTTAAGTATCACATACTCTTCCTTGTCAAGTTTAAGTTTTCTGAATCTGTCTGTTAGTCTTAGCGTTAGATCGTTAAGGAGATCCACCTTGGCTTCTTTGCTGTCATTTCTGCTCATAGCAAAGTCGTCTGCAAAGGCCAATGTATCCTGGTGTGGAATGGATCGATATGCTAACCCGAGGATTAAAACTTCATTCCATGCACTCTGCAGGAGTGTCATCTGATCATTCAGAGACATTGTGGTAAACCCTTATGATAGAGATATATAAAGCAATGATTAGATAAAGCATAAAAAGTCACATGACAGTCAATGTCAACAGCAGTGCATCTACTGGATTTTCTCACACAATATTACAAAATTGGAATAGTGATTTTACACTTTATATATATGCAGTTCAATATTCAAATCAATGTATTTGAAATATGTTTATAGTTTGTTCATCTGAGTAGCTGATAGATGGGACACATGTCCCACATTCAAAATCGTGTTTGAAATACATTTGTATGTTTAAAATAACTTTGTTGTTTTATAAACGTTTGATATACTGTATGTTTTGGGGGGCTAATAATTTGATATGGGTGATTTGATACAATATTAAATTGTTGGTTTCAAAGCTAGCATTCATTAATGATTGTGTTCAGAGGCATTTCTAGGTATATTACAATCTTGCAAGAGAAATTGATTAGAGAAATCCATTTTCTAATGTTTTTTTTTGTGCCATCTTCTGTAAGTGTTCAGAGTACAAAATA